CTGGAGAGGACCTGAGTGTGCCACCACAATTTGGAAATAAAGTTTCTTCAGGCTTCCTTTCAGAGGTCAGGGTCAAATGTGGAGCAGCAGCCAAGCTCTGGGTAGAGACCAGGGCTGCATTAGCAGCCAGGCCCCGTCTCTGATTTTCCTTGGTGAAGGAAAACAGAAGACAATCGTCTTGTTAATGCGCTGAGATTTCTCCTCCATCTTGGTTTTCTTGTCCTTTCCAGGACTGTTTTTGTTTGCCTTAGCTCAGTATAGGAACAAAGCAATGATGACCAACAATTTCTTTTCTCATCCCTAGTCTGGTTTTGAGATGTTGTCTTCCTCCAATCCACATGTGCAAACAGACATACAAGTGCATACACACAGGCACCGATACACAATTTCCTATGTAAGAAGACCAAGAACTCGTCAGGACTGTCACATCAAATTACACCATGTGTGACTATATAAAATACACAGCGGAGCCTGGCAGTGGTGGCACAAGCCTTTAATCCCAACACTTGGGAGGCAGAGGCAGGGAGATCTCTGTAAATTCAAGGCCAGCCTGGGCTACAAGAGCTAGTTCCAGGATAGGCTCCAAAGCTACAGAGAAACCCTGTCTTGGAAAAAAAAAAAGTAAAATATACAGGTGATCAGAAGGACAATGCACCCTCAAGTCCTGGATCTTGTCCCTTTTGTTTGCTCTCCTTATTAATCCCAACAATGGTTTTCAGTTATACACTCGGTGCCACTTTTTAAACCAGATATACAGTGGTTGGTTCCAAATAGAAACCATAAAAACCATTCATTTATTATCTCAAAGCTGTCTGATTCCCATGTGCACCCATGGATTAAAGGAAATGGATTGCACAATGAGAGAGAGAGAGAGAGAGAGAGAGAGAGAGAGAGAGAGAGAGAAGAAAGATTTACCACTTGCTGTGCCCCTACTTAGGTGTGTGATCTCGGGCACCTCAGTGACCTTCTCTGGGACCTGACTGAACACCTCATGCTTCTCTTGTTCTGAGAAGCTAAGAATTGCATGCGAAGATAATGTGTCCAGGATAACTTGCATGAGTGTCGGGCATAATACTCGGAGGGATGTTCTAGTGGTGGCCGTGTTACCAGAGGGAAGAGTGAAAGGAGGGAATGGGATGCCATCCACGTGACAAGAGGAGAAAGCATCCCCGGGCCACCCTGGGCACGTGGTTGAATCTTTGAGTGTCTTGGTTTCCTCATTTCTTTCCAAATGGGGGTTATTTGGAATTCGTACTGTTTGGTAAGAACTTCCCAGTTTTTCAGAGTCATCTCATTTGTGTGCATGTTTCATTCTCTGTGAGAGGCCTGTGGAAAGGTCAACACATGCTAATTTGTCTAAGTCCTTTGGTAGCTGGCTGCACTGTGAACAGCCATCAGTGAGGAGTTTTGGACTAGGGCCCAAATCTATTTGGATCAACTTTCAAATTGATCGTTTGGAATCTTCTCAACACTAAGACAGCACTCTTATAGCTACACCAATGGCCTTCCTAATGATATTTGCTCATACAGAAGGATCCCATTGTAAACACAACATGAGCTGGACTTAACTTAAGAAATATATCACCGGAAAAAAAAATAGCATTGTGTTTCCTATAATGGGCACAATAAACCCTTAGAAGCATTGTGTGCGACAAGGAGACACATTGCGGTTCCACACGGCCTAAGTGGCTGGCTCCTTCATCAAGCTTGCTGCTAACCCTTCTGAATGAACTCTAGTATGAAACAGCAATTTCTTTATTCCTCATGCCCGTAGAATTTTTCAGGGTTCTTGCCGTATTGTGCATTGAAAGCCTTCATTAGCAATGCGAGCCCTTCAGAAGGTAATGAATGACTCATACAAATCTAGAAATAGCACTGTGGAAAACTGCTTTTATGTAATCTTCCTCAGAGTGTCACTCTGTGAATGCTTATCATCCCAGCAGAAACACGTGGGAAAGATCACATCTTGTGGGAGACTCTGGGGACACGCTGTTGTCTCAGAGTCACGCCATGGCCTCCCGGGCTTCTAGAAGCCACTAGAAACTTGAGAGCATTTTAAGCACAACAGGGGAGTGAGTAAGTGAGGGACCAATCTGCGAGATCCATCTCTGGTTTCAGTGTGGGCATTTAGCACATGGGCTTCAATCAGGAAAGGCATTTTGTATGTTTTTTTTTGTTTGTTTTTGGTCCAAAATTAAATCTCAAATGTTTCTAAGTTGTGCCAAAGTATACTAAACATAAAATTAAAAAGTTCAGTTAGGTAAAGCAGACATATGTTATTGCGCAACCGTCACCAGCATCCAACCATCCATCTCCAGATCTTTCTATCTTCCTAACCCAAAACTCTATACCTATTAACCCTCCCACTTCAGCTTTCCTGGAAACTACCATTCTACTTCCTGATTGTGGGATTTTGCCTCTTCCCGGCATCTCAAGTAAGCGAAGTCATCTAGTATTTGTCTTTTTGTGATTAGCTTGCTTTGCTTTGAAAACCATGTCCAAGGTTCAACTATCTTATATCATGTGGCAGAACTGAATACTGTTCTAAGGGTGGACAGCATTCTGTTGTATATAGGGGCCACATATTATTTATTCATTCATCCATTTCATGGACACTCGAGTTGCTCCTACCTTTCAGATAGTTCTGAAAAATGATGCTGAAAATATGAGTGCAATGCCTTTTTAATTGTTTCCTATTCTCATAGGTTTATGCCCAGTGGAATGGTGAACAATAAGTTCTTAATATTAAAAGGGAAGGTTCTGAAAGGAGAAAGGGCAGAGACAGGGATCACCCCCAAACCTAGGGTAGTTACCCAGGCAACGTAGGAGAGGAGAAAAGGATGGGCCTGTTATAAATGAGGGCGTACAGCTGATGAGTTAAAGTAGGCTTTTGAGGGTTACAGCCAGCTTGGAAAGGACTTTTAAAAGCTAGGGCAGGGCCTGTGGAGGTGGCTCACATGGGTAAGAGTGCTTTCTCTGAAGGCATGGGGGGCTGAGTATGGATCCCCGGTAGCCGCATGTCATGGTGGCCATGATTGTGCATGTCTGTCATTCCAGCATTGGGATGAAGACAAAAAGATCCCGAGTGTTCTCTGGCCAACCATCTTAGCCCACACCTGTGAACTGCTAGTTCATGGAAAGACCCCGTGTCAGGCAATAAGGTGGAGAACAGTAAGGGAAGACAGCTGATGTCTTGCTCTGGCCAATGTGTCAGTGCATTCGATGGGCATATATGTACTGACACACTGTGTGCTGATCCTTTTCTCTCTCTCTCCCTCCCTTCCTCCCCTCTCTCTTCCTCCCTCTCTCTCTCTCCCTCCCTCACCTCTCTCTCCCTCTGTCCCTCTCCCCCCTCACTCACACACACACACATACAAACACACACATACACACACAATTGGGCCAGGGTCAGTGCTCCTGAGGAATGTTTAAAGAGACCACGCAGAGGAAGCTATTGGCTGTTTCCCTATCTTCTCCATTGCTGGGTGAGCTCCTGCCATAACATTCTACTCCTGGCCTGGATGTGGTCCAGCTACAATGTGAGTGTAAGAATGAGAGACATTTGTGTGATCTTAGAGAGCTCTGCCTGTGAAGCTGCTACGAGGCGGTGAGGAGCAAAGCTTTTCCTTTAGCTTTCTGGATTCAGTTGGCACTTGGGAGCCAACTCAGACGCTGGACATTAACCAGTGCCTCCTATAGGATCCCAGACATGATCCCCAGAAGATTCTGTGTACAACCCTTCTGCCTGGGAGGAACTATGGGTGAGAGTTCAGGTGAAGTGGGAATGGGCCTGGAAGCCATAATCGTAGCTTAGGACGGTTACTTTACGTGTTTCGAGGTTGTCTCTGACATGGTCTTCCCTTGTTGGCACAGGTCCAGCTAACACTTCAGGGATCTGTCTCCTGCCACTGGTGCAGAGCAATGACCACAGCATGCTAGATAACGATTAGTCTTGGAACAATTAGCATCCCATGTACTTGGGTTTAAAAGGACTTATGTAACGGGTGTTCTCCATTTTCCTAGAATCTTTGCCTCTAAGGACTCGGTATTGCAAAGCGAAGAAGAAAAGGGATCCAAGATCTAATGGTACATCGCAATATTTGATTAGCACCCCTAGCCAACTGATAAACACATATTCCATGCCCTGCAATCCTACAGGAGCACACCCAAAGGATTCCAGGGGCCTTTTGCCACATAATTGTTGACCATTTGGGTCTGAATTTCAAGAGGACACATTAGTTAGCGGCAGGGGGTTGGTGTGTGGTCGGTGATGGGGCTTGGCCCCGTGACAACTTGGAAGACTTGCCACTGATTTAGAAAGAACAGCAACCCGTGTCTGAAGAGAGAGGGGGTGGGAGGACAGAGCTCTCTTCAGAACACTAATGAGAATAAGATGAAACCACTTCAAAAAGAGGCCCAGTCGGTGGCGGAGAAGGGTGGCTGTCCATGTGGCTGGCTGATGGTTGACGTCTCCACAAGGGTCATGTCTCGTATCTAGAACAGACTGACAGCGATCAATGTGGGGATCCCTTTGAGTGTCCAGGCAGCTGTCACCAAAACCCGCGTGCAAACACAGATGTGTTTTTGTTTAGTTGTCCAGGTTTCTCAGCGTTTCGATCCGAGGCTCCTTGAGGCTGGGGTGGTCGCAGAAGATGTAGATTTTTGTGTATGTGGACTGTGAGACGTAAGCAAGGAGAGCAGACATTTCCTTTAACGATTTGAAAATCTGTGGAAACAGATGACTTTAGGGATGGCATGGGGGAGCTAGCCTTGGCTATATCTGAATGATGTGGGTGACTTGAAATGAGGACCCGTTCTTGTAACTGTCGGGCTTCCTACTTCCTCGTTTCACAATGGGGTAAACGTGAGGTGGAGGCCACTGGGTTAAATGTCCTCCACTCGCGATCCAGAGAGACCTTAGGAGAGCTTGCAGAGCCACTGAAGGAGATTTCAGTATGCTGCATGCTGCATCTTCTTTAGAAAGACCCTTTCCACCTCAGGAGAGCTTTACTGATTTCATCACTTTTCCACAAATGGTCACTGGCTGCCAAAATATCAAGAGCTCCTGGATTAGATTGATAAACATCTCTGCTTCTCCGTGACTCGACTCCGTGAGACGACTCCGTGACTCGGTTATTCGGATGTGTTCTGAGGGGTAAGCTATGCTGGTGTTTGCCTAACTCTGCCCCATTTGCATTGTAACCCGAGAGCCGTGACAGGTATGTGAGCATCCCTGCCTCGCTCTCATTCTCTGAATCAGTTGGCCTCTCTTGAGCAAAACGATTGAGCACTAGGAAATTTGAGTCTTGAGTCTCTTTAGCGTCTGCCAGCCCTGACTCTGGCTGCCTGTCTACCCGTGCAGGATCTCAGCCAGGCAGGTTGTGAGGCCCAAGAAGGCTTTTTGTTCCTCATTAGTCACTCATAGGGCCTTTAAAAAATGACTGTGTGCATGCTCTGTATGTGTGTGCTTGCATGTGCATGTGTGCACGCATGGGTGTGAACATGCCAATGCAAACATGCAGAGGCCAGGGAACAACATTGGAGAGACAGGTTTTTCCCCACCAGCGGACCCAGGGAGTGAATGAAGATTGTCAGATTTGAATGGCGAGCACTTTTACCTACCGAGCCATCTTGCCATCCCAGGGAACCAGTTTTGGCTTCCACCATGACTCTCGCCCTTTATTACATGTGCCCATTCCAAAGTCCTTCCTATAAGCAACCAGTTGATGGGAAGTGGACTTTGGGGATACAACCCCCTGTTTGGGGAGCAGCTGAAGGATATATCCCCACTGCGGAGTCAGAAGGGACTAAAGCGAGAGAGTTTCTGGTGCAGATCTCCCACTGTTCCCAGTGACTGAACTTGCTGGGGACACCCACAGAAGTGGCTCATGGGACCATTCTGCCCACAAGCATTTTAAAAGCAAAACATAGCCAAATAATCCTCTGTTCAGCACACATAAAAGCCATTGTTTCAGAATTCACTTTCAGCGTGACTTTCGTTCTTTTAGGTTGCTTGTTCCGCGGATTTTGCTGGACCCAGAGAGGGAATTACTGAATCTTCTGAGAACCATGTCTTCTGCCCGATGAGTGACCTTCTTGGTGTGGCGCCATGCCTCAGGGGTGGTTAGAGACAGTCAGGAGTCTTCTCAATAGGGGAAGTATGTGTGTGTTGGGGTGCTGTGGGGTGAGCAGTCTGCCTGTATTCTCCGACTCTGTTTATTAGACATCACAGGCGGTGTGGCTTTCCTTTAATTGTGGGACATCTTTACTCTGAAGTGGCACCTGAATTGGCTGCCCAGTTCTGAGGTGCAGGGTGACGCAAGCTGACAGAGGAGTTGGCACCCTGCTGCCATTAAAGGTTAGCTTGTATGTGTTTTTTTAAAAAATTGCTAATGCCTGAGTTGAGTGGTATAATAGCAAATCCTTATGTTCACCCATAGACACTTTTCTCCCCAGTGAATAAAAGTTCAGTTGCAGCTATCTGAAATTCTGGCAGCCATGAAATCTTACCCACCCTCCCTTCCTTCTCCCCTCTCCCCGCCTCCTCTTCTCTTCCTCCTTTTTCATTTGAAGTTCTTTTGCATTCAAAGCATAGGAAATTTTTCTTTTATTAAGAAATGACTGTGTGGCTACAAATTCACGTGTTCAATTTTTTATTCTTATCCTTAATGTTCTGTTCTCATCAAGCATTGATGATTCTGTTCACCATGCAGTTTGATGCTCTCCAAAGCCGAGAAAGTTTTCCTTCCATTTTCCAACTCTCTCTCTCTCTCTCTCTCTCTCTCTCTCTCTCTCTCTCTCTCTCTCTCTCTCTCTNCTCTCTCTCTCTCTCTCTCTCTCTCTCTCTCTCTCTCTCTCTCCCTTTCTCTCTATCAGCTCTTGCTACTTTCTTCAGATTAGGTGGAAAAAAAAAACCTAGGAAACATTTCTCATCACGTTGTCAAAGCCCTCTTGTGGGATGAAGTTCAGCTCCTTCACAGTGGCCCTTTGATAGCTGAAAATCTGGTGTTCAGCAGTTACTTCTTTCTGAGAGCTCCAAGTACATCCAGGCTTGCAGTTTTTTTAAACAATTGGCTCTTTTCTCTGGGTCCGTTTCTCGTCTCACTCGGCTCCCCATAGAGATGGAAGACAGACCCTCTGATTCTGCCGGGGGACAACAAAGGACATTTATGGCCCGGCAGGAGGCAGAGGGCTGGATTGACGGAGGCAGACTTTCACATTTTCCTTCAACTGGAATTGAGACCTGGATTTGTTATATATTTGTTTAGCCTTAGTTCAGGCTCTCTTCTACAAATCCTGGTGGGAGATAGAAAGCAAAGCTGCAACAAGTGTGTTGAACTTGGAATGAGAAACTTTAATCCTTGAAAAATGGTATTGTGTAGCTTCCAGACTGCAACTAATCACGGCAGATTCAGACAGTGGCAGGAACGTTTCACTTTCCCTCTTAATATTCAGGGTGCACAGCCATGCAGTAATGCGACCTTCTGAATGCATATTTCCCCGAAATTTCCTCCGGGCCAATATTTACTTTAGTGGCTGAAACCCCAGTGGCTTAATCGAAGTGCGCCAGCTGTTTTTCATCTGCAGACAGTGCACCTGACAGTCAGAGGCCAAGCAGGTTGGCTGTGGCCAGCTGTTCACTTGTGCCCTGAGCGTCAGTATACATTTTAACTGCAGGCAGCATGTAAAAGGCTCCGTGTATTGGACACTTACGTTCTGGGTTCTTTGCTACCGGTGCCAGCTTCATTATCACATTTATGACTTCTGTGATCCAAAGAAGTCGATCCACATACTAGTTCATATCTTTATTGATAAGAAAACCAGGGATCTAAAAAGATAAATAGCTTCTCCAAGGTCACATAGATAGAAGTCAGAGAGCAAACCTGGGGTCTGGGTATCAATCATTTCTGTGTTTTATGGATGTCACTTCTGGACTAACCTTCCTGCTTCTGTTAGGGAAATCCCTGTTAAAAATGACCTCATCCTTGGGTACCTGGATCTCACCCATGCCAACTAAGCAGTTGCATCCTATATAAGAATGATCTCCATCCTTGGGATTCTGGGTCCTCTCTCGTGTCAAAAGGCTCAGCCGTTTTGATTTTGATAAAGTTGTTTTTCTTCTGCAAAAGTATCTCTATGTGTGCACATTCATGCTTGAGTTTCAGTAGGGCTTTACTAAGGATACGGGGAACTGGAGGGCGATTTCCATCGTCACATGTCATATAAACTCCGCTGAAACGGTCTGCATTTCAGAAATCCATATCGTTTATGTCAAGTTTATTGTCACCCGGCTTCCTGCTAACCTGTGGTCATGTGCTGTTTCCTGCAGATGTTTCCATAAAGACAGTGTCCTAAGGGGAATGCTGGTGCCGCCTCCTGAGGCAGTTTCTTTTCAAATTCTGCCTCTGACTTCAAAGAAGAAAAGATTCCCATCGCCACTTTTCCCTCCCTCCCTTCCTCCCTCACTCCCTCCCTCCCTCCCTTCCTCCCTCCCTCTCTGCTTCCTTCCATCTCTCCCCCCTCCCTCCCTTCCCTTTCTCCCCTCTTCTTGGAAAGTATTGAATTACTATTTTCTGATATACAAGAATATTTCTATTGCATTTTCAGAGACTCTTTCCTTTCCCCTCAAGCTACCCATTGGAACGGTTGATTTACCACCTGTACCCCCAAGTTCCACCACGAACTGACGAAGGAGTCACTGCAGGGGCATTGCCTGCAGTAAACCATTCCCCTCACAGGACACAGGTAGGGGCTCGTGGTCTGTAGATCCCGGTGCTGTAGACCCCAGCGACTGTCTCTAGACTGCCTTCTTGCCCTCAGAATGGGAGTCACCACGTTAAAGAAGAGAAGTGAAGAACAAGAAGAAAGGAGGCGCGTGCCTTAAAGAGTAGAGAAGAGAGCCTGTGAGAGTAGAGGATTGACCTGAAGCAGGACGGATGGAGTAGAAGTTTGGCCAACAGGAAGCTCTGTATATACACGAGTCATCATCGTTTTGGGAATTGAATTGCTTTTCTAATTATAAAATTGATATACATAAAATCATTTTGAAAAGAAAATTTTGGAAAATGTCTCAAAGCAATAAATAAATGAATAAATAAATAAACGTGAAATTTCATAATCCAGGAAATGTCTGTTGAAGCATATTTCATTATGGGTGTTTTTTTTTTTTCATTGCTTATTGTTGTGTGTGTCCATAGTGCTCTTGATAGTGCACCCCCCGATACACACATTCATGCATGCACCGGAAATGACTATACGCTTACCTTTTAATAGGCAAAGTAGAACACATAGGGCTTTGCGTACCTGAGGGGACCTACGTATTGTCTTTATTTTTCTCATCTTTGTTCCTTTCCCGTGAACCTGGCATTTGCTGGCTCAGCTCTGCCTTCCTGCCGCAACACTGGCATTCCTGCCCCCTCTCTCAGGATGAGCCCGGATTCCACAGTTGAGTCTACATAACCTCCCCTCTCTGCAGTCCTCTGGCTCCATCTGGCAGAAGTATGGATTGACACAGATTTTATACCTGGAGGAACTGTTGGAGAAAACTGAGGATTCTCCTGGATCTTTCCCTGTGCCTATGAGCTGCATTGTTCCCACATTCAATAGCTCAGTGGAGTAATATCAGGCAATGCATGGAGGTATATCCTTGGAAGGCTGGCAGGCCTACGTTCAGATCCATTCTTTAGCCCAAGTTTTGCCATCTATGAAATGGGATATTAATAGTGGCTGTCCTCTATTCAGGAATGAAAGTATTTGTAGCGATAACCTGGGGAAGTTCTCAGGGCAGTAAGTGGTGCGAGCCCCAAACTATGAATTCAGTAGTTCACCAGCTCAGGGTCATATAGTAAAGTCATGTGGTCTGTTTACAGACTCAGTTCCACAGGAGACCTGCACAAGACTGAATGTGTCGGTTCTAGCTATCTGCAAATGGACACCAGGATGAGTTGAAGAGGCAGGGATCATACGATTGAATCTTGGCACCGGCTACTTAAGTAATCCCTATGTTCCAAGCTCTTCACAGAATCGCAGTTTTCATTATAATCCTATAAAGGGCCATGGCCACCTTGTCAGTTACGGTATTCTCCAGAGGAAGCTGGCTTAAATGATAGGAAAGATTATTCTCTTCCACATAGAAAGCATAAAAGCAGGCAGTACGCACAGTTGGTTGATGTAGCTATCCAATATATCCAGTGCAGCCTGGAGTTTATGCCTTCTATCCCGGCATCAGATCCATTCTAAGACCAAAACCAAGACCTCCACGGTAGCTCCAGAATGGCAGCCATGCAGAGCAACGTCTAGGGTGGGTTCCTCTTATCTGAAGCTCTGTCGTAGAAGGCAGAGGATTTCTCCACATAGTTGTAGCCTGTTTCTGAACAAGTCATTGTAAAAGCACACAGAATTACCCTTGGGCTTCTCAGATCCATGCCTGTGGCTAAAAGTAGGAGTAGATGTCCTGAGGTTCATTGCTGCAGTCAGTGTGTGTGTGTGCATGTGTGTATGTGTGTGTAGATATTAGAAAAAAAAACAAATAATTTTATCTTGCTAGAATAAAGAAAGGGAACAGTTTTTGTGCCCATAGCCTCTATTCCATGGGCCAACACAGTCGAATAAATAGGCAACTAAAATTTTAATCATTTGACGTCCTGTGGCTAGCAAGGGGTGGAGACCAAGTTCAAATCTACCTGATTCCTGTGATGATGAATTTCTCAGACGGTTAAGAAGAGAGTGTGCCCCTGTCTTCCCCAACATGCAAACCACAAGAGTCCATTGCAAGGGAGATTCTTTGAAGAGATTATAAAAGTTTTCAGAGTAGTGGGAGCTTAATACTTTGCGGTGTGGCATGCTGAGAGCATTGCATGCAGCCAGCATGTGCTGGCCCGGAGCCCAAGTCCGGGTGGCGCCGCTGAAGAAGCAGCGGAGGTGAAAGACATACCACTCTACACCTAGGCTGTATAAAACACACAGTCATCTGTCAGTGGTGAGTTCTATTGAAAGGAGAGGGAGGGAGGGAGGAAGCGCTGGCCAGGCATGCGTCTAAGGACACCAATATCAGCTTTCACGTTCTTCAAATGTTTACTTCCCTGTTTATCACGAGAGCAAAGGAGGAACGTGTTCTTATTTTAAGCATGTGGATGGCCAATGTTAAGAAGTTTAGTCTGAGGTTCCAAGTTCTAGAGAAGCTCTTGCTGGGTTCCCTGTTCACATTCCTTTCCCCCAAGACTGCTTTGTCAGCTGCCCTTCCCTCCTGCCCACTGGGATTTTACTGTGAAGTATGTGTTCTCCCTGACCATGCCTTCCGAGACAATCTGCAGGACAGCCATGTTTGTGGCTGCTTGTTAGACTTCACCCTTTTGTTTAAACTCTGGGATTCGGTATCAACCACCTGTGGCCACCCTTCATTTGGTCATCGCACAGGCTCTCAACGTCAGTATGTACAAATACATTTGAATCCACCTCCTCTCCCCACCCAAACCAAAGAAGAACGCTTGTTTCTAGTTGGTATTTTTTAAAACAGTTTTAATTTTCTTGAGAGCGTCATACACAGGTACTTGATTAACATTATCATTGCCCAACTGCCTTCATGCTCTACACTGACTTCAAGCTGAGGAACCTTTTCTTTTGAATCTGACACAACCAGTTGTTCCAGATGGAGTCTTAGGATCATTTCATCTCCTAAAGGGCATCTAAGTAGCTACCACATCTGGGCAGCTCTTTTTTTTTTCCTCCCACCCAGACACCACCCTCTTCCACCCCTCTCGGCCAAGCCACAGTTCTTAGTTACATCTTTTTACTCATGTTTTAATTCAATGTCCTGGCCTTTCTCTTTGTCCATGCCCCTCCCATCCAACCCATCCCCCACACTGCCACTGACAGTACCCTTGTGAAACAGACGCAGCTCCAGCCTGTCACTAAGTGAACCACTTCAAGGATATGCTGGGGTTTGCAGTGTGGTTTTCGCCCTCTTAGCGAACTCAGCTAAGGCCTTCCACAGATGTAGCTCATTCATCAGGGAGAAGAGCAGGGTTGCTCAGAGAACTTGTTTACGTTCTTCGCCCCACTACCAACATCCCTCCTGATCCTACTGGTGGAGTAATTAAACCTTAATCGTCATGATTTCCTTTCATTTCTATCTACCATATAAGCTAATAATGGATAGCATAGAAATTCTGTTGAAAATGAAATACTTTCAACCATGGATGAAGAAAGTAAGCCACTAAATATTAACCTAACAAATGCTTGTCATTCAATTCTTCCACTATATTTTAAACTTTTTGAGGCCTTCCTGTCTCACCACACACCCTTCATAAGAACTTATTTCTGGTAGTGATCTCAATTCTCAGAAAACAGGTTGGGTACCTTTTTACACTTCCTTCTCATCCTCAGAATATCCCCTGCTCTGTCTTACTGTGGTAGAATGAGAGCGAGCTGTTCAATGTTTACGTTACTTACCAGAGCTGGTCCTACGCCGGTGTGAGTGCACAGATTCACGTATTTCAACTGATTTAAGAACTTGAGGATCTTGGCTGCACCCTCCCCCCACACACTATACTCAAAAGATTGGCAATTAAAGCACAGAGAGCTGGAGTAAGTCACCCAAGGTCACAGCGTGTGATTTGTAATGGAACAGGAACAGAAACCCAGGCTGTCTTGTCAGAGTGCCAATGAGGTCGACCACTAATAGCTTCAGAAAGCAGGAGTGAGGCTCATTTTTTTTTTTTTTTGTCTAAGAGTCACACTTAATCACTTGTTTTTATAAAAGATGTTATAACTCAGTTACATTTTTTTAAATTGGGAGCAGACAGGATCCTGCTTGATTTCTGTGCTCCTGGCTTAGTCTGGTGTGACTCAGTCCTGACGGACACATTCTTCAACTGATATTTAGAAACGGGAGATGCATCTCACACTCACTTAAGCTAACAGATGGCTCCTCCTCCCAAGAGAGAGCTGAGTCATGAATCTGCCGACAGGCTCTCCCCATTGTGCACCCGAATCTTTTTCTCCCATGCTCGTGGAATGACACACACATTTTGTCCCTAACTACCCTGATCAATCAATCACGCAGCATCTCGCTGCCAGCCAGACCTGCTGCCTGGAACTCAGAGAGATGTCAATGAAATACAGGCCTGTGCAGCAAGCAGGGTTATGGGGGGTGGAGGGAAGGCAGGGTAGGGGAACCCTCTGATGATTTGGATAGAATTCAAATCCAGATTCCAGGACATCTGAGCGGGGGAAAAAAAAAAAACGAACAAACTTGTGTATGTATGTGTGTATCAATGCATGTGTATGCCCATCTGTGAACATGTGGAGGGGCTGAGTTGTACAGAAGGCCAGGAATAAAATTAAGCAAGATTTTAAACTCAGTGTTAATCACCACTTTACTTACACTTTGAAGAGAAGAAAATGATCCCATGACTTCAAATCTAGCTCAGAGTATTTCAAAGTCATTCCTTATTTTCCTTCCTTCCATATCATCTCCTTTCTTTTTTTTTTCAATTTTTTCTTCTCCCTTCTTAAGATGACCCTTTCCCCTTTCAATCCCCCACCTTCTCTGTGTCTTTGTAGTGCATAGGATTTTCCTGCAGTGGAAGAACCCCCAGGATTTGAGAACTATAAACTAATGAACCTAGGGATGTGCTCTCAGTCTGGGCTCAGGGACAGGCTTCTTTTGAAGGATGGATGGAGCTTGTCCTGGTCAGGTGGTTGAAGAACTCTCCCTCCGTGGCACAAACTGGTTTGCGTGCCTATGCTCTTTCTTCTTTTTTTGCCTTTGATTGAGTCTGAGCTTAAGATCAGCAGCCTTACCCAAAGGCCGCTGCAAGAAGGAGAATGTGATGGGATAGAACAGGTCATGTGCTGTAAGCCTGGACCAGTCTCAGGCCTGCTGTCTTCACATGAAGTGAGGATATCCCCTGGAGCCCTTAGGAAAGCATTTGGCATGTTCAGACACAGACTAATGTTCAATCTCTGCTTTTGGCTGTTCATTTATTTTTCTCCATGAACACATAGCCTTGCCCAGGTGACCCAGGTTGTTTGGGGGTTGTGTGGGAGGAAGCGTTATAACAGAAAATGTAGGCACAAGTTCACTGTAATTTACTAATGACGGCTTGCTGATGATG